CAAGCATCTTGGACACATTCCGTCCGTTTGATATCTTGCATCTTTGCACCGTTGTCCTGTCCATATAGTGCCACAAGCTAGAGCCTCAAGTGCGCCAGCTTCTTGGACTCGGTCAGCTTTCCGTAGTTTCTGCTGTGTGTTTTTCAGCATTGTGGTGACCATACCGTGTTGCATTCGTTTGCCGTAGTAGTGGTCCGCCGCTTTCGTCCAGAGCTGTGCTTCCATGTCTTTTGCCAGCGCTTTCAGGATCTCCCTGAAGTCTAGTGCACCCTCAGTCTGGAACCTCCAGGTTTCTCCACGCGTGTCGTCCCACTCGTCTGGCTGCTTCGGGTCCCATCCATTTTGCTGCTGGAGCGACAGGATGAGGGCCCCCATTGGCCCCGTGATGGGTTTCCACTTGCCTCTGGGTCTCATATGCGTCAGCCGCTTTAGGCTATCTTGCCATCCTTGTTGTAGTCGATCGTGTGCTGGCGTATCTTTCTGCCACATCTGGATCCATTCTCGTACATGTCGCTGGAGGCATGCTGTGGCTGGTTCGTTCTCGCCGTAGAAGATGGCGTTGGTGGTTGAGGTGCACCTGCCACTGGTTGTGAAGCCGATCATTTCTGCCGCTTGAGCTCTTGCATTGCGCGCTGCACTTGGGCTGAGCCCTGTGACTGGCCAATCGTAGCTCTGCTTGGCCCTCAGGTTCGGGTTGAATAATGTCGCCGTTCTGCGCCGCCAACGCCCCTTCTGCCTGCTGAAGATCTTCGCGCTCTTGGCTCGTAGGCGCGCTTGTTTGGTCCTACTCATACGCGTGGATGTGGCACGCTGCCTTCCCATTGCCGCGTCGATGCCGAAGTTCTTGACGAACTCCGGGGTCTTTATGTACATGCTCTTGCCTTTGAGGTACTTGACGATGACCTTCTTGGCGATGCCGCAGTTCGTGTGAGCAGGGCTGACTTTCCTAACGCCGCCAGCTTTGAGTCCAAGCATGCCTGCACCAACGTGTCGACCGCGTCGGGGAATTGCTCTTGGAATTGATCTGGTAATCCTTCGACTCGCGCTTGGAGGTCGTCCACGAACTCACGCGTGGCCGCTAGCGGCGCCGCGTTGTGGGTGATGTTCAGGATTATGTATATCATGGCCCTCGCCGCGTGGTTCGCGGCCGCACATCCTGCCACGATGCCATTCCATGGGCAGATGGGGTCAGCATGGTCATGGCAAGCGCGTACTACTCGAGGCGATAGGTGCATTAGCATGCTCATGCAAAGGTTGACCTTTGGGCATTCCAGCTGCATCGTCCGCCTGATTAGGATGCTCAGGTCCACGCTGTCGTAGAACTTCTCAAGGTCGAGGTATAATGTGCCATATGAGGACCTTTTGAGTTTCGCGCTTGTCCCGTCAAGTGCCATGGATACTACGGCCGCCCTAAGTGCCGACGAGCCAGGGATCGCTGCGTCCCAATAGCCAGCCTTCTCAGCACACCAATCTTACATTTCACTTTTTGCCATCTTCCCCCACAGGCGTACTGGGAGCGGTAGTAGCCCAGTAGGTCGCTCTTCGCCTGCCGTGTTAGAGCCTGCATTGACCAACAAGTGGTACCATAGAGAGTAGAATTGATGAGGCCAACATAAGTTCCGCTCGCACGAGTTGATCACGTAGACCAGGCTGCGCTTGGCTTCTTGTTGGAGGGCCTTTATGTCTGTTGGTTGCCATCGGTCTGGTTTTCGCGCCGTGGGCCGAAACTTCGGAGGCGCCGCCTCCAGGTCGTTAACGTCGAAGTAGCTGCGGTGAGGTAGTTCTTCTTGGGCTGCTTGTCTCAGCTCTGCCATAGCCTCTTCCAACTTCTGACTGCAGTTGTGCCGCTGCCACCTCGTCTGCCATATTCTTGCGCGGCATTCTGTAGCTTCTCGTAGCGCTCCAGTTTCTTCTTTACCAACTGGGGCCACTGCAGGATCTGGTAGGTCTCGCCGTTCATGTTTGCTGATGTAATTGTGGGCTGCCTTCGTGCTGCCTGATAATGCCGGCCTGGTCCATTGTCCCACTTGCTCTCTGATTTTATTCCATAGCTTCCACGTGTGCCACTCTGATCGTGCCCGTGTAGCCTCCATTGCGTCATGCCAGTCTTGGATGTTCTCGACTGTTACTTCTGCATCTGGGGCGTGTCGGAGGTTGGTGACTCGTCTAGCTAATCGAGCTGCTTGGACGTCTGAGTAATCCACCTCCTCTATACCTGTCTTGCTGTCTTGCCGAGCGCCTCTATCTGATCCACAAGCACAATGATGATGTGGCATGCGGTTGCCATGTGCTGCTGGCTGTCGGTCGGGTGCCTTTGTAGAAGTATCTCACCATCACGGCATCGTTGGTGCAGCTTCGACCAACGTGTGCTAACTTGCTGCTGCTTGTCAGCCTTTGTGTCACCGATGGGCTTGTTCGCGACATGCTGTAGATATGGTACTTCGCGATATCTCATCGGTTGTCCTCGCCGCGCTCCAGCATGACGCGGTGCTTGTGTGATAGTGGGCAATGCTCTCTCGGCCGCATTCGCCCACTTGCCGTACAGTCTGCCAAGCAAGTCGCTCATTCTTGGGTTTTGCATGTAGGCCAAGGGGTTCTGGACCCATCCTAGCGGGCCTCGGATTCGGCCAGCGGCCTCCTCCTCGCGGCACTTGTCCCGCATGGTCGGGTCGCATTTCATGGCTACCATCTCCGTGTAGTAGTTGTCCAGGAGCGCATTATCCAGGAGGTCCTCGTCGAAGTACTGGGTCATGTCTTGGTGCTGCTTCCTGTCTCGCTGCTTCCTCTTGATGCCTTTCTCCAGCTGCACCTCCGTCATGGGGATGGGCTTCTTAGTTGGGAAGCATGGGCTTGCGAGTCTTTAGCGTCGAAGGTTTCGCCCATACTTCGATGATGATGCCGATGTGTAATGGCCATGGTGCGCCGTGCTCTGCTCGACCTGCTTTAAGTAGTGGACGAAAGGTTGGAGGAACGATCGCGTAGCCTATGAGCCTTTCAGGTCCACTGCTACACGTGTGATTGACGTGCTGCGATACCACACTAGCTGCTCCAAGTAACTTTAGCCATGGGGCCGCCTCGAAATCTTGGGGCGTGTTATTGAAGTCGCTGCATCTACTCCATGGTATATTGCCCAGGCTGCGCGTCAGCTGCACGAGGTGCTGCATCTTGCGAATGTTCTCACCCGTAAAACCTATGGAGGCCGTGGGGTAGGCCGTGATGACTGCAATCTGCTGGCTTTTGAGTTGCCATTTGACGATGGTTATGTCGTGGATGTCCTTCGCGAAGATACTATGGCCCTGCGCGCCTCACTGGTGAATGCGCGTGTCCAAGTGCCGTCTTCGAAGTATGCATGTGCCTCCTAGCGTGCCTTTTCTTCGATCTCGGCGACTGTCTTGCTGGCGTCCAAATACCACCCGACCTCCACCCCAGCCGCATGAGCCTGTTAGCCTCAATCTCCGCTGCTGATCCTCGCAAGTGGTGCTCGCTGAAAGCCATCAGGTCGTGCTCCTCGCTCTTATCGCCCTCTACGAATTTCTTGGCGGCATCATTGTACTGCGTGCAGTTGGCCACGAACATTTTGACGATTTTATTGGTATCGTCCTTCAGCTTGCTCTGCTTTGCGTTGTCGACGGCGGGGGGTGTAGAACCAGTACCTTGCGCTCCTGCACGGACTGGTTCTGTCGCCATCGTAGCACACGAAGAGCTCCCACAAAGTGACATTGTCGAAGCCGCGTTGCCATTATCATCCCTAGTCCGAGTGAAAGCACGGAGGCGGAGGAGGAGGAGGAGGGCGACGAGGAGGAGGAGGAGGAGGAGGAGGAGGAGGAGGAGGAGGAGGAGGAGGAGGAGGAGGAGGAGGAGGGAGGAGGGAGGGGGAACAATAGGCGGATGAAGAAGAGAAGGAGGAAGAGGGGGAGGAGGAAGAAGAGCAGGAGGAGGACAATGGCGAGCTTGAGGGCTTCTTGGGGCGTCTTGGGGACCTCTTGTCTGTCCTGGGGGCCTCTTGCGCACCGCGGGGGGCCCCTTGGAGCCTCCTGGGGGTCTCTTGGGAGCCGCTCGGAGGCCTCTTGGGCGCCTCTTGGTGCCTCCTGGGCGCCTCCTGGGCGCCTCTTGGGTTCCTCTCGAAGCGCTCTTAGGAGGCTTGGGAGCGCTCTTGGGGCCATCTTGGAGGAGATCGATTCAATAATGGAGGAGCCTGAATTTCGCCGCCACCCCACGGGAGCCCCACACATCGCCTCTTGGAGCGCTCTTGGGGCGCCTTTGCGGCGCTCTTGGGCGCTGTTGGGGCCGTCTTGGAACTCCTCTCTCGGGCCTCTCTCGAGGCTCTCTGGAGCTCTCTTGGCGCTGTCTTGAGACCTCGGAAGGCCATCGAAACCAGAAAGGGCGAGAAGGCACCATCCATTGAGCGGCCTCCGTGGGACGGACGCTCTGGGGCCACTTGGAACCGTCTTGGAACGGTCTTGGGGCCTCTGGGAGCATCGTGGGAACCATCCGGGGCTATCCTGTGCCGTCTTGGAGGTCATCTGGGGCTCTCTGAGGCCTTCCTGGAGCCGTCTTGGGTCATCTCAGATGCTCTGACCGCTCGCGGGGCGCCCCGTCCAGGTCCAAGGGGGGGGGGTAGGGGGAGGGGTACCCCCCTCCCCGAAAGGGGAAGAAAGGGGGTTGGAAGAGGAGCCTCCCTTGACCACCTACGCCCCGAGGGCTGGTATGGGGTCTACTTCACGGTATGTTTCTCTCTTTACCCAGGGCTTAGGTCCCAGGTATGTGGGACACCAAGAGGAGGGACGTCCGTAGGGCAGAAGGGCAGTATAGAGCGCTCCAGCAGATCTGAAAGCAAGCTGGTGCCGCTTTCCAGAGCCGCCTGGAACACCATGCCCCATCCGATCTGCAAGCAGCATGTGGACGCTCTGCTGCTTACCTGGCCAGGAGAGTACACACCAGAGATGCAGCTTGGCAGTCGTAGTTAGAAACAAGGGCTCACATGCTGACGGGCTGGTCTGATGCACGAACTTCCGCACCCGGAGGATGCAATCGCTACCTCGAGGTCTTCTGGCGTCTCCACAGAGCTGGCCGCAGCGGATGATCGGTGCCATCATGGCTTGCCGAAGGTGTCCGAGTCCTCAGCCGGCGCAGATGATCCTGGCAGCTTGACAGATAACGGCGCAGGCGACGGCGCGGGGCAGGGTAGCTTGCCACAGCATGCCAACCGGGACTCGTGCAAGCCGCCTCAGCACCCGCCTGGGGTTCACAGCAGCTCCTGCGCTGCCGGCGACTTGACTCGGACCGAGAGGCTGCTGCAGCTGCAGCATAGTCTGCCTCGGCAGCAGCCCGCCGTTGAGGGCACTGCGATCCCCCCGCGGGCAGCCGCGGAGCCTGCTGGCCCGGAGCAGCAGGACTCCAGCGCGGCCGCTGGGCAAGTTCGCCAGGCCTCTGGCGCAGCACTCGGCAAGGACCACCAGCGGCGAACTTTTCCGTATCCGCGCCCTCGCGGTCTGGATTCCCGGGCGCGACCCCGCGGATGCGCGGTCGCACGGGCACGTTCGAACAACGCGCCGTGCCCGCGGGGCCGTGGCCGAGGGGCAGAGCCCGCGAGGCTGCGGATACGGACCTGCCTTTCGCCCACGAAAGGAGGCCTGCGAGGACATCCGGCCGCCAGGGCCCGTGGCACCTGGGCCGTGCGACCAGCTGCGCACCTGGCCACAGGAGGCCCCCGAGCACGCAGCCGCAGCCGCGGGCTCGGAGCCCTGCCACCAGGGCGCCGGCGCGAGGCTCACGGCGGCGCGCGCGAGGGAGCGCGCCGGCGGCGCGCGGGAGGGCTCCCCGCAGCAGCTGCGCCTCGACGGCCCCGCATGCCGGAAGGAGCCCTCGGAGCCTGCTGCGGCCTGGAGGGCCCCCGTGGACACGGGCGCGAGCGCCGCCAGCACCAACGTCAGCGGCGCCAGCACCACCGCCAGCGCCAGCGCTGCGCCCACGGACGCCGCGGACGCCCTGGACGCGGCCGCCAGCTGCGTCGGGAGCGAGAGGATCCGCAGCTGCCTCCGCGCCGAGATCGAGCGCCTGCAGCGGCAGAGCAGGATCGAGCTCCGGGCGGAGGCGTGCCCGGAGGCGGCGGCCCCCGCGCACGCCCCGGCCGCCAGCCCTCGGCAGGATCCCCTGAGCGGGTGCCTGGAGCAGGTCCTCGCCGAGCTCGCCTCCGAGAGGAGCGAGCGAGAGGCGGTCGCCGCCGCGGTGGTGCGGCTGGAGAAGCGGCTGGCCGAGGGGGTCGCCTCCATCAGCGAGGTCGCCGCGGCGCGGGTCGCCACGGACTCCGCGACGGACACCATGATGGGCGCGCTGAGAGGCTGCGTGGACGAGCTCCGCGACCAGTGCGGCTGGCCCCCAAAGAGCGCGACCCCCTGGTCGCGCCAGCTGGCTTCCACCATGGGGGAGGCCGTCAGGGTCAACGTTGGGGGGTGTGGACAGGCTTCAGGGGGTATCGAATTGACCCCCAATCGCACATTGGTCGCCGATGAAGGCCTCGTAGCGCCCACCCCGCCCAGGACCATACGACTTTGCTATCGGGGGGCCTGTCGCCGATCTGTCGGTGATGTATCGCCAATTCCAGTGTTCCCCCCCTGAGCCGGTTCCCCCCCAACGTTGCCTCTCAGGCCATCGTACGGCAGCAGAGGGAGATAGAGGATCTGACGGGGCTATGACGAGGATGAATCCTTTCCACAGCGTTCCGGAACGCTCTCAGAGCGTTTCAGAACGCTCTGAGAAGGCCGCGGCGACCGAGACATCCTCCAGAGCCGCCAGATCTCAGAGATTCTCGACTTGTCCTCACCCGATGTTGCAGTCAACGCGCCTAGTAAGGACGCGCGCGTTCATCTAGGGTGCCCTCGTGTTCTTGCCTCTACGGCCCGTCCTCTACCGTCTGCACTGGTCGCCTGCCGCCCAAGAACTGCCAGCTTCGGCCTTCAAGGGCCTTGCGTCTTTGCCACCCGTCCTCAATGCACGCTCCGCCTGCATCCACGCCCTTCTGGGATCGAAATTGAATTCGCATGGAATTGAGCAGGTCCCAGGCCCAGCTGACCACACCTGTACCCCCCTATTAGGATTTACCTGGAATGAAGGGCGCATCCCCCAGATCCAGCTGCTTCGAATGGGGTTCTCAGTGCAATCGAACAAGAACGGAATTGGAATGGAGCAGACCCCGTGTCTTCTGTTGCATCTTCGGGGGACCTCGCCTGTCCCCCAAATTGGTATCTTTTTGGGGGCCCGACGCGTGCTCGATGCGGACTCGACGCGGATTTGGCGTGGATTCGACGCGGATTCGACACGGATTCGACACGGATCTGACGCGTCCGACATGGATTCGACACGGATTCGACGCGGACAGGGCCGCGACGGGACAGACAAGGTCCCCCGAGGATGCAACATAACGTGCCCCTCGCTTCGCCTCCGAGGAGCTCCGGGGCTACGTGGAGAGCGCTCGGGCTCAGCAGGACGAGCAGCAGCGGCACGCGCGGGCGCTGGCCTCCAGGAACGCGCGGCGCTGCCGCCCCCCTCCTCCTCAAAGCCGCTGCGCCTCGCGTGCGCCCGCGGCGGTCCGTAGTCGGGCCGAACGAAAGGGGGGGATTGGGAAAGGGGGGTTTACGAAATTTGCTGCATGCAGCTGGTTTCGGGCCCACCGAGGGGCCCATTCCTCGATACATAGACGCCTCCGGCGCCGGAAGGCGCCGGGAAAATCAGCTACGTGAGCTGATTCTCAAACCCCCCCTTTGCTATCCCCCCCTTTCACCCGACCCGACGTAGGTCTCTGCGCTGCGAGGAGGCGAGGGGGGTGTCGTAGAGCAGTGCGCCTGGTGGGCCCTGGAAACGGCAGGGCCCTCTTCTTACCGGTTCCGCTTTGCCGCCGCTGCGCCTCGCGTGCGCCCGCGGCGGTCCGTAGGTTAACGGGCGAAGAGCGGTGTAGAATAAACTTTTTCGCCGTCGGGGGCGCCTGCCCCTGGGCGGCTGGAGAGTGTATATACCCTTACGGTGGCACCGTAGGGGCATAACCTTTCCGGCCGCCCAGAGGCAGGTGTCCCCGACGGTGGAAAGTTTATTTTATACCGTTCTTCGCTCGCTGAGTAGGCCTCTGCGCTGCGAGGAGGAGAGAGGGGTGTCGTAGAGCAGTGCGCCTAGTGGGCCCTGGAAGCGGCAGGGCCGTTTCCTTACCAGTTCCGTCTTGCCGTTTTTGTTGCCGCTTCCGACGCCGTTGCTTTACCGGTTCCGTCGCCGTTGTTTGACCGGTTCTGGCTCCGGTTCCAATCTTGGAGCCGTTTTTGTTGCCGTTTCGGGTCGCCGTTTTTTTTTTTTTCCCCGTTTCCATTTTCAAGGGACATTTTTGTTGGAAACGGTGAAAACAACGTCCCTGCCGTATTCGGGGCCCACAAAGCCCCCCTCCCGTCGTTTAGACGGCGAAGCCCGCTACGAGGAGGAGAGCGGGGGATTGTGGAGAAGTGTGCCACGGTATCTTCGCACGACCCCCCCCGTCGCTTGGACGGTTAAGTGTCCGCATCACTGCCCACGGCATCATGGCGAACCTGTTCGGCAGACCTTGCGCCCCCACTTCCACTCTTCACGGAAGGGTTCGGAAGTTTCGTGTGCAAGTGTTCGATGGAGAAGAGGTGCAGAGGAGCATGATTGGGAGGAGACCGGGAGGGAGAAATGGGTAGGCAGGGAGAGGAAGGAGGAGGAGGAGGAGGAGGAGGACGAGGAAGAGGAGGAGGAGGGCATGGGAGAAAGAGAACGGTGCAGAAGATGGTAGTTCTTAGAACGAGAAGTTAACGGGGGATGAGGATGAGGGTTGAGAGGAGCCTGTCACCGATGTGTACATTTGTGTACCTAGATGCCTCGACATCCCCCTCCTCTGGTCTGGCCTAGTCTGATATTGCAGTCTGGGCAGATGTGGTACTTGTATCATCATGTCTGTCATGGTCTTTCGCAGCTTGAGATGTTATACGGTCTAGGTATGATGCAGTCTGGCCTGGCCAGATGTAGGAGAAGGAGTAGGAGGATGAGAAGGAGTGGGAGGAACGGGACAGTTGGCCACGTCATGAGGAATCGTAGCATGTGCCCCTCTGGAGGGCCTCGCTATGCTTCTCTGGGTGTCTCTCGTGTGCCAGACCCCCTGGGTCGTCCTGCGGGGAGGGAGCATGAGACAGAGGAGCAGCAGCCACGCCATGCCAGACATGGTGTGGCGCCCTTCTTGGGAGCCTCTGGGGGCTCTCCTGTGGGCCTCTCGGTGCCGACTTGTGTTTCTGGGGGCCGCGCCGGCCGTCTTGGGAGCCCCTTCGGCGGCCCCCCTGACGCGTCTTGGCCCGTTTGGGTAGCCTTTTGATTTGGGGCCGACGAGACGTTGTGGCTGAATTAGTCGCGGGTATGTCCTGGATACCCGTAAAAAAGCCATGCGTAACATGTTTTGCAATAGTTTGCCCGATGGGTGTCGTCGGCGTTATAGACGGCCCGCCGAAGTTCGCGTCTTGGGACGGAGGGGAGTTTCTGGAGACGAGTCCGGTCCGCCGCACTGACAGCAGGCGGATGGACTTTTACACTTGGGGGGTCCCGCTTGTGCCTTGTGGTGGATTTTGGGCAGGTGCCTGGGAGGAGGAGGAGGAGGTGACGGAGGAGGAGACGAGCGGCTTCTGGGGGCACGTCTACATGTTGGCTGGATCTCGCTTCTCTGGTTGCCATTGCTCAGTATCGCCCAGTGAACGCCCACTGCTGTTACTGGATCCGCGAGGATGGACGAGATGGAGGAGCACACGAAACGGGTGGACAGGGAGGTCGCGGCGCTGGAGAAGAGCTGCAGCAGCAGGCAGAGCAAGCTGGAGTTCTCGGTGCAGGCGCTGCAGGAGAGCGTGGCGAAGCTGAGGGTCTGCAAGGATCGGCGGCGAGCGAGGGGGGGAGGTGAGACGGAGAGGGCCCTCTCAGAAGTCGGTAGCACTTCTCAGAAGCCTTCGCGCCTTCTGAGAAGTTTTCTGTGTCTTCGGGGAAGCTCTAGAAGCCTCTCAGAAGACTGGGGAACTTCCGAGCCTTCTGAGAAGGCCCGCCCCCTCTCACTTGCCCCCCGGGCTTGCCGCCGAGAGGAGGAGTCGGACAGCGTCGTTGGGCTGACGGCCACCGTCCAGGCTGTCCAGAGCCAGCTGAGGAATATCCAGGGCGAGTGCGGGCAGTTCCGCAGTGCGGTGGCCGCGCTCTCGGAGCAGCAGCAGCGGCTGCAGCAGGCGCCCACGCCAGCGCGACAGGCCACAGCAGCGAAGCATGACACGGAGATGATGCAGGTCGCCGTTTTCTTATGCATCGTTTCGCCGATCGGCGCGGGCCCCAGCCCCCTCCCCCTCCCCCCCTCGTAGACCAGATATTGGCTGCTTTTGGCGACTGCTCTCGGCGGCTGGTCAGGACCCCTCCCCCCATGTCTGCCTGCGCGACTGGTAGAAGCAAGGCAGATCGACCGAGCGCCGGCCCAACTGCAGGTGCCGCCCCTCCCCCACCTTCTGGCCAACTGTCGAAGCCCCGAATGCAAACAAAGACGCCTGCCAGGCGCTGTGCTCGGTCCTGGAGCGGCAGCAGCAGCTGCAGGACGCCCACCAGCGCCAGGAGAGCGACCTGGCCGCCCTCCGGGGCGCTCTGCTGGAGGGCGAGGCCGGCGAAGGGAGCGCCGCGCCCGCTGCCCCCGCCGCCGAGCGGGCTTCCGGCGCCGAGCAGGCTGCCAGCGGCAGCCCTGCGCCGGAGCTCCCGGGGGTGCGGCCGCGGACCTCGGCGGCCCCCACGGCCGCAGACGCGCCGGCGGGCCGCGCGGAGGCCGCCCGGCAGGTGGAGCCGCTGGGCGCCCTGCAGGCGGAGCTGGGCGCAGTGGCAGGCTCGGTGTCCCGGCTCGCCGCGCAGGTGGAGCACCTGCGGTCGTGCCGCAGCTCGCCGTGCTCGTCGCTCTCGCCGCACGCGACGCCGCACAAGCCCAGCCTCAGCGGCGCGCCCGCCCAGTCGCCGGCGGCGCAGGAGCCCCAGGGCTCCCAGGGCGCGGAGGTGTGCCGGCAGCTGTCTGCCGCCATGGAGGCAGCGGGCTCCCCCGCAGCTCCGCCTGCGATCGCCTCGGGCCCGGGGCCGACGGCGGCCTGCGCAGTGGAGGGAGCGCAGGCCAGGGAGGCGTTGTCGCAATGGGGCGCGGGCGTCAGTCGACCAGGCGTGTGAGAGTGATCTTTCGCTGGAGGGGCCTTCGATGCGGGCCCAATGGGGCCTCCCGATCGCCACACGCGAAGCGGTGGCAGCGGCTTGCGCAGCCAGGTCTGGCCACCCCGCGCCCCCCTGGGGTTTCTCTTGCCCAAGGTTTAAGGCAGGCGTGTCCCTCTACAGGAGGGATGTTCAAAAATGATCCGAAGAGTCGGGGGACTATGCTTTCTTTTTTGTGACAATTTTTGAGTATTTCTTGAATATGGTTTGGACTATTTTTGGTTCTTCGTCCACAGTCCCCCTGCAGGGGGACAGGCCCGACCTCACCCAAGGGGCACTCCTGCTCGCAGCCGAGATTCGGCCAGAGCGTTCTCGGGCGGGGGCGCCCGCCCGGCCCCCGGACTCCGGCCTGGCCTGTGCCCGAGGGCCCTGTCCATGCGAGGCCCCATCGGGCCGAAGGAACGGAGGGGATGGTAGACGTTTCGGGTGCTGCTATGCGGGGTAATTTGGAGGGGGGCTCCGACTCGCCCGAGTTGATATCGATTCCTGCTATCCCGATCCGATTCGGTCCCGATATCCCGACGATCCGATGCGGCCCGATGCTCGCATGGCGCCGTGGTGAATCCTGGTGCTGCTGATCCGATTCGCTTCCGCCCCCGCTCCGATGCAGCCTGATTCGATACACGTTTCGGGCGCTGCTAGCAGTGCCCCTGGCCCAAAGTGCCCCCAGGAGTTCCAAGGAGGCCCCGACGGCCTGGGGCTCCAAAATGGAGCGAAAAGCTGGGGGCACTTCGGTCCAGGGGCACTTCTTTCGGGGCCGAACGAAAGAGGGGGATAGGGAAGGGGGGGCACGAAATCTGCTGCACGCAGCTGGTTTTGGCCCCGCCGCAGGGCCCACTCCTCGATACTTGGGCTCCTCCTGGCGCCGGGAGGCGCTGGGAAAATCAGCTACGCGAGCTGATTATCTGCCCAAACCCTTTGCGCTTTCCCCCCGTTTCGTTCCCCCCGATCCTGGCAACGCCCGAACGCTCTGGTCCGATGCTGCGATCCGCTGCTGCCTGTGCCGGCCTCGCGGAGCGCCTCCCCGGCCGCCCGAGGCGCTCCGCGAGCAGCTCGCCGTCCTGATGGCCAAGGTCCGGCAGCTCCCCCCCGCCGGCGAGCCGCCCGGGGGCGCTGGCGGGGAGGTCGCCGGGAGCATGGGCAAGCAGGACCCGGCGATGCCCCCCCCCCACCAAAAAAAAATGAAAACAACAAAAAAATAAAAAAGGACCCGGCGATGCCCCCCGGCTTCGACACGCTGACGGCGCCCGCAGCAGAGCAAAGTTCGGCGGCGCGTCCACGGGGCGGAAGTCAGGGGGGGTGGCCCTTCTCAGGAGGCTCCATGGAGGCCTCCGTCCTGAGCTGTCTCGGCCTTCTCCGAAGGCACAAGCGGTTTCTCACTAAGGCCAGGGGCTTCCGAGCAGGCCCGCCGTCTTCTGAGCGGCTTGCCCCTGTCACTTCCCTCCTGGGCGCGCCGCCGAAAAGCGGCATGGTTATATAAATTGTTGGAGGTTCGCGCCGATCTCTCCTGTCGGCGCGGGGCCCCCTGGCGGCACCTCCGGCGCCGCTCCTGGCGCGCTCCGCGTGCCAGGGAGGGGGGCCCAGCGCCGATCCAAGAGGCCTGCGCGAAGCTTCGAAGGACTGCGTGTTGTGTCGCCTTCCCTTCCTCCAGGACGCGGGCAAGCAGCAGGGCCCAGCGGTGCCCCCCGGCTTCGACACGCTGCAGGCGCGGGTGAGCTCCTGCGTGCCGAGTGCCTCCGGCGAGAAGAAGGCACCGAGCCCGCGGAAGTGGCTCACGGAGCCCCTCGCGGTGGCGGTGGGGCGGTTCAGCTCGGGTACCCCTGGGAGCCTGGCGTCGTCGCCCCGTTCTGTAATTAACGCTGCAGGTGCATGAATTGGCAAACGTTCCTCACTATGTTCGGCGGCGCGCTGATGGGGGGAGCTGAGAGGGGGTCGGTCTTCTCAGACGGCGGCGGGGCTTCTCAGAAGCTCACCGGCCTTCTGAGAAGTCCTCTGTGACTGGAGAAGGCTCAGACAGCTTCTCAGAAGGCCAGTGGCTTTCTAAGCCTTTTGAGAAGGCCCGCCCCCTCTGACTTCCCCCCTGGGCGCGCCGCCGATATACTTCTGCTCTGTCTTCTTTTCATTTTTCATTTCCACTTTATAAGATAGACCTTGCAGTGCGGTTATTGCTGAAGCAATCCGATGCCATCTGCGTAGCAGTGCCGTGACTGCATTGGGACCTCTTTTGAAAGACCAGCTAAATCAAGACAGAGCGAAAAATTGCGCGCCGTGCTTTTGTTGCAAGAGTGACTGATGGCTGCTTCTACGAGCGCAGCTTGACATAGTCCCAATTGTTATCCAACTCCACCAGTCCCGACATCCCTAGTTTGTCACACGCGCACCTCTGCGCCTTCCTAGGCAGGCTTCGGCGACTCGCGACTCCTTCTCTTGCCTTTACGCGCGCCCTTGCGACAGCGTGTGCAACTGGCAAGAATAATACGAGCAGGGGAAGAAGGGAATCATGGCGAAGAGCCAGTATGAACGATGCCACTCGGACACGTCCTCTGCGACATCGTCTTCGATTGGCTGGTGAGCTGCGGGGGAGGAAAGTTCATTGGGGAGAGGCGCACACGGTATAACGGGGGCTTGAAGGCACGGGCGGGTGGGAGGAGGAGGAGCAGGAGGAGGAGGAGATGGAGGTACGCATCAGTACTGGAGGATATGAGGAAGAGAAGGGGGATACTTCTGAGGAGAAGGGGGATACACTCCTCCAGCGCCTGCGGGGATTTGTCGGGGGCAGTGCTATCGACATCATGCTACGTAGCAGGACGGAGCGGCGAACAGACCTCCCATTCCTCGCCTCTTTCTTGCTTTGCACAGCCGTTGCGTGTCCGATGACGCGCGCCGGGTGCACGGGGTACAGTCCATTTGGACACCGCAGGATCGACAAGCTCGAATGCGTTCCTGAGCAGTTCCAAGGACGCTCTCCCGAGCTAACGGGGGCATTTAGGCACATTCGCATACGCCTCCTGCAAAACACGCGGCGAAAACAATGAGCCCAGGGCTTCGCGCCAACACGGCTGGCTCGAGCGCCCCCTCGGGAGGCTATTCTGGCACGTGGGGGGGGCCCAAGGGCATCCTCGGGGCTCTGTGCGGGCCTCGGGCGGGCCTCTCCTGTGGCCTTCTCCGCCCCTCTCAAGGCCCCGGTGGGGCGCTCCTGGAGGTCCTCAATGCCACTTCGGACCTGCTTTGGGGGGGTTCTTTCGGTCCTCCTGGGTGCCCTCCTGGGGGCCAGCCTCGGCATTCTGCCTCGGGGCCGTTTCTGGGACCTCGTTGGCCCTCTCGTGTTTTGTGTTGGGCCGCATCGGGCCAATCCTCGCCCGACCTTGGTGCTGACTTGGGCTTGGGCAGGCCTTGGACTCACTCTGGGCCTTCTTGGCGCCCTCTTGCCCACCATGAGTCGTGACGACTGCCGCGTCGGCATGCCCTGTTTCCAGACCTGCCGCGCCGTGGGTGGGCGAGCGAGCCACGGACGCGAGCAGGCGCCAGTCAGCCCGGCGCCTCGCGGGAGCGTCCGGCCAGGGAGCCGCGCGCGCATGCGCTGGAGTCGCTGGCTGCCTCTGTGGTCTGCTTACAGCAGGCTGCTGCGCCTGAACGGCTTCGTCGCTCGAGCCGCACCCGCGCGGGGCGCCTTCGGAGCGCCTCGCGCTGCAGGCCCGGCCCCGCGGTGCCTGCGCCCCCGGGCTCGGCGCAGGGGCGCGCGCTGCCGCGCGGGGGCCGTGGGCGGCCCCCCGCCTCTGGGGCACAAGCGGCCGCGGAGGGGCAGCGCTGCGGCTGCCAGCCGTCGGCGCCCGCACCCCGCCTGCCCCCTCTCCTGCGCTCCCCGGCTGCGGCCCTGGTGCACATAGAGCAGGGCATGCAGTCGGACCGAGGTACAGTCGGGGCGCTGAAGAAGGAACCCTTTGCGTTGGGGAGGGGCTCCGTGTTCCCTGATTGCTTCACAGCTTGCCTGAGGTTTTCCTAAGGTTTTCGATGGGAAATCGAAGTTCAACTTATTTAGGGTTCCTTGGGTCAGCGCCCCGGCTGTATAGGACAGGGCATGCAGTCGGACCGAGGTACAAGAGCAAGGTCGGTTCGGGGAGGGCACCCAAACATGATTCGCGCCTGTTGGATGCTCTTGTGCGTCCTCGGGGAGGGCATCCTCGAGTGGCCGGCGGAGGGTCTCGTGTTCTTGAGGATGTTCTTCTCGGCTGTATGCATCTTCATCTTGAAGTCAGAGGTACACCGCTCCAATTATCATCCGTAGTTGTGCAGTCTGCCGAGCCTGCGGTGGCGCGTTTTTGGTAACCGGCTGCATCGTGACTCCTCACTGTGACAAGAGCAACGCTGGCGATGAATGCTCCTCCTCCTCCTCCTCCTCCTCCTCCTCCTCCTCCTCCTCCCTGAGGCAGGCGGCGGCGGCGGGGAAGCGCTGCTGCTGCCGGTGGCGCCCGCCCCCTCCCCCGCCTAGACCCCCCTCCCCGCTCCTCTTCCGAGCCAGAGCAGCCTCGACAGACAGGCGCGTTCCGCGACTCGCAGAGCAACTGCTCGCAAGTGGCCTGGGTCTGCCGCGGGGGATTGCAGGATTCGTTGCGTCGATGCACACCCGTGTGCTTCGGACGTTTGCGAGCGGGCACTTTGCGAGGCCGGCGCCCCATGGCAAGCCGCTCCGTGCCGGCGGCGCCCCCGGCCCGGTGGCCCGAGGGGTATAGCGGGGGCCTTCCCGCCAGCAGGGGCGGCGCCGCGGGCGCCTCCGCCGGGGGGGCGTGCGCTGGCGGGCCCGGGGCAGGCACTCCCAGCATTCTCCCCCCCCACCCCCCCAGGAGGAGGAGGAGGAGGAGGCAGAGGAGGAGGAGGAGGAGGAGGAGGAGGAGGAGGAGGAGGAGGAGGAGGAGGAGGAAGGAGGAGGAGGAGGAGGAGGAGGTAGAGGAGGGCAGGAGGAAGGCAGGAGGAGGAGGAGGAGGAGGAGGAGGAGGAGGAGGAGGAGGAGGAGGAGGAGGAGGAGGAGGGGGAGGAGGAGAGGAGGAGGAGGAGGAGGAGGAGGAGGGGAGGAGGAGGAGGAGGAGGAGGAGGAGGAGGAGGAGGAGGAGGAGGAGGAGGGCATGCCCCCCCCCGTCCCTCGCTCCTCTGTTCCACGCGCGCCCTCGCTCCCCCGCTATCCATTCCTGACCGTGTTGCTCCTCTCGCCTCCCGCATCTCCCTCCTCCACCTCCCCTTCTCGTCTCGCCCGTCCTTCCCTTCCTCCTGTGCCCGCCTCCTTCCCTCTCCCCGCATCCTCGTGATCCCTGTGGGGCGGCAGCTGCTGGGGCGCCAGGGCGCGCTGCTCCCAGCGGCATGTTCAGATGCTGGGGAGCCTGCGGCCTGGAAGCCACCGCCCGCGCGCGCGCGCGCGCGCCCGATGCGAGGAAGAGGCTCTCGCGGAGACGCCCCGACTCGGCGGCGAACGAGGGGGGAACTGAGAAGGAGAAGACCTCCTCAGAAGGCGGCGGGACTTCTCAGAGAAGACCTCGCGCCCTCTGAAAAACTTGGCCGAGCCTTCGGGGAAGGCTCGGCCAGCTTCCCAGAAGGCCCGGGGACTTCCGAGCCTCCTGAGATCGGGTCTCAAGAGACGGGGGCCAATACAAACGGGGGTCAGCCAGGGCACCGGATCCTGCAGGATCCTGCGAAGACCCCCTCAGGCGAGCCGCTCGTGGCCGCGAGGCGGCCGCGCATATTGGCTGACCCGGGTTTGCGAAGACCTGCGTTGCAGTTTTTTCTTTTCCTGCATTGCAGTTTTTTGGTTTGCTGCTGACCCGGGTCTGGATTGACCCGGGTCAGAAGATCCCCGATGAGAAACCCCAGGAAGCATTTAAGAACCCCCCCCCTTCCGGCAAATCGATAACCCTTCCGCACCATCATCCATATCCGCATCATCATCATCATCATCATCATCATCATCATCATCATCATCATCATCATCATCATCATCATCATCATCATCATCATCATCATCATCATCATATCATCATCATCATCATCATCATCATCATCATCATCATCATCATCATCATCATCATCATCATCATCATCATCATCATCATCATCATCATCATCATCATCATCATCATCATCATCATCGTGTCCGGGTGCTACAGCTATCGTTCGGTTATTTCGGCCCTTCGGAATATCGAATAAAAAATGCGGTGCTACGATATCGCCGGGGGGTTTCTTAAATGCTTCCTGGGGTAAGGCATTCGTTCTTCTCGCTTCCCCCCCGGGCTCGCCGCCGACCGTCCCTGGGCTGGCCAAGCCGCCCCCGAGCATCGGGTGGCCTCTCGTTGCCGCCGCGCCGTGCCGGGCCGTCCCGCGGCCTCGGGGGTCCCCAGGGCCAGGGCTTGGAGGAGGAGGAGGAGGAGGAGGAGGAGGAGGAGGAGGAGGAGGAGGAGGAGGAGGGAGAGGTCGCGGGCCCCGAGTGGGAACACTTCTGGAGGCCGCTGGACCCTTTTGTGCCCTAGTCTGGTCTTCTCTCTTTCTTGTGGTGCCTGGGTGTGGTTGCTGGATGGGACCCCTGATGTCACGACGGCCTTGCATGCAGGTAGCCCCGAAGTGGGTTTCTCCGTACTGTCTCTGCCTCCCATTTTCCTTGAGTAGGCTACAAATTGTAACGGCCTTTAGATCGACCGACCGACCAGCCGACCGAGGAGGTCAAGCCATCTGGCGCGGGGAGGGCTCGGCTCCAGTGCGTCAAGGGGGGAGTCCAGAGGAGGAAAAGGTGCCCATACCTCTACCCCTCGCCCGTTTTCCCCTTTTTGGGCCTCCTGGGAGGCCCTCGTCGCCACTGCCGGATTCGCCTCGAAATCCTGGTCAGAACGCACCCCAGGAGAGGCCCAGGGAGGAGCGGTATCGGTACCTCTTGGCTTCCCCAGGTGTCCGAGAGGGACGGATGGTACCGAAGGGCAAGTCTGGCGGGCCGGCTGCAGGCGCCGCTCGCCCTGTAAGGGTGCCAGGAGGAACCAAAATACACACGGACATAAATCACGGTCGATTCCGCGGGAAGATGGGGAACTGCGGCAAGTGGGGGGGGGGAGGAGACGAACGCCCCCCAAATATGGACACACAGGAGGGATCCTGGCCCGGGAGGTGTGTCTGTTTATGTCTGCTTATCTGTGTGCTCCTGAGCCTCTCTAGGGCTGCGGAAGGGCGGCGGGAGCGCATGCCTGCGCGTGAACAGAATCTGAGCTGCCCCTGGCGGACAGGCTTCTCGAGGCGGTGGCACGGGTTTCGGGGCCAGTCCCGTGCGCGCGAGGCTGGTTGCCCAGGCGGAATTGCCCTTCTCCCGGTGGAGTCAAGCAGTGGCGAAGCGTCCTCGCCCGCCTATGTAGCCCTACCAAGCAATGTCCTAAGGACTTTTCGTGGTTTCCACGAAATGCTCTTAGAACATGTCTGGTTGAGATTGTCTTTTTTTACACCTCGGGCTTATGTTCTAAGAACATTGTTTCTGTTATTAGAACATGTTTTGGTTCCAAGAACATTTCGTGGTAGGACTATAGGAATGCTGGGACGGTCGGTCCCTGCTCAATGGAATGGTCTTGCCATCGCAGGACGTGTGCATGTTTTTCTCGGCGAGGAGCCTCCTGGATCATCCCGGGGAAGCAGAAGCGCTCGAAGCCGACAGATGCACGGGGACTGGGCGCCCGAGCGATGGCAGGCGGCCCTTCCCACGGCGGAAGATCAAAAGAGTTGCGACATCGGGGCTCAAGAGAAGGGGGGTCAATGCAACCGGGGGTCAGTCTCCACCGCCAGAATATGTCCACATCCACCGCTTCGGAGTCGTGCCCTGGAATCTCGAGGAGCAGTGGATATGGATATCTGCCCGCCCGCGTGAGCGGGCAGATATCCATATCCGCCGCTCCCCGAGTCCTCGCAACACGACCCAGCAGCAGTGGATATGGTCAAATTCTGGCGGCGCACAGTCAGAGCGCCTGATCTTGCAGGATCCTGCAGAGGCAGGGCTGCACTGACCCGCGTTTGGGCGCAGGATGTTGCAGGATCCTGCAGGGTCTCGCGACGCGCAGGATCCTGCAAGGCCTGACTGACCCGGGTCTGGATTGACCCAGGCCAGTGGATCCCCAAGCTGGTGGAATGGTTTTTTCCCTGGCAGAAGATGGGAAGCCTTGAAAAGGTTGATTCCCCGAAGGGGAATTCTGCATGTTGTTTCCTTGTGTGGGGCATGCCCGAAGCCTTCCAGAAGCGTGTCGAAAGGAGTTGGAAGCTCGTGCACTAGTGCACTACCTCAGAGGGGGAGCGATGTACTTCCTCGCTCATGATAGCCAGCATGCTACTGGGGAGCGGTCCTCGCAAAATTGCGATGCTGATGGTATAGTGGCTCTCAGGAGCCCTCGGGGATCCCGAGGACCCCCACAGGATCTGAAGCAACTTACAGGAAGCTCCTCAGAGTCTCCCGAGAAGCTCCTTCGAGGCTCCTCAGAGGCTCCACAGAGGATTGTTGGAGACCCCCCAGAGGAACCTCCGGATACTGCAGGATCCCCAAGGAATCCTGCAAGAACTTTCAGGAACCCAGTGCACGAGTGGATCGCACAGCAGCGGTGGTAATAGACGCATCAAGATTAGTATGCGGAGGACTACTCATAGAACGACGGGTAGCATCAGTAGCGGTAGCAATAGTCGCAGTATGGCCGTCATATCATTTTCTCTCAGGAGTATAAGTTGGATTTGTATAGTTCTTTTCAAAAAGAGGTTCGTCAGAGGCTGTCTGAGGCCCTTCGAAGTCTCTTCAGAAACTCTGCAGACGATCTTCATAATCTCTTCAGATGCTTTCCCGACGCCTTTCAGAAGCACTTCACGTAAGAGGCTCGGTCCTCCAGGGGCCTTTCAAAGGCCCTCCAGAGACCCCTGAGAAGCTTTTTTGGCGCAGAGGCTCTTCAGAGGCTTTTCAGGGGCTCTTCAGAGGCCCTTGAGGCTCTTCGGAGGCTCCTCAGAGGCTCTTCAGAGGCTCAACAAGGCCTTGGGATGCTAGGCTCCTCAGAAGCAAATCACAGGCTCTGCGGAGGCTTTCAAAGGCTTTCAAAAGCTCTGCAGAGGCTCTCCAGAGGCTCTTCAAAGGCTCCTCAGAGACTATTCAAAGGCTCTTCAGAGGCCCTTTAGTAGAGATTCTTCAGAGGCCCTTCGGATGCCTTCAGAGGCCTCTCAGAGGCTCTCAACGGCTCTGGGACGCCCTTCGGATGCCTCACAGAGGCGGCTCTCACTTGTCATGATAGTTCCAGAAGGAGCAGGGGCTCTACCGGGAACCCGGGGAACGAGCCGCTCAGCTGGGGAACGAACCTCCTTTTTGGAAATAGTCACAGGGGAACGAACCGTTCAACCGGGGAACGAACCCTTCCACCAGGGAAGCCTTTTTCTCAGTCCCGTGCCCCTCGCTGGCAGTGCAGGGTGGTACAGGTGGCGCGGGGAGGTGGAGGTTCGGAGTGGCAGGGCGCGGGGAGGTGGAGGTTCGGAGTGGCAGTGCCAGGGGCCGTTTCGATCTGATCGATTCTACGTTTCGATTTCGATTTCGGCCAGTCCGATCCAGTTCGATGCGGTCCGATGCCCGATGCCTACATGGTGATGTTTGTGCACACTGGCGCGAAGGATCCGATTCGATTCCGACTCCGTGCCGATGCTGCCCGATTTCGATGCACAATCCGATCCAAACCGATTTCCCGACTCGATGCGAGGCTGATTGATCCTGCGGGGTGGGAGATGATGGAAGAGGCGGGTTGAGGCTCAGCTGACAGACGTGGCTCAAGAGCTGCAAAGGAGGAGCGTAGCAAGGCAATTCGTGGAGCCTTCGCTGAAAGGGAGGGGCGGGGGAGGCTACCTGATCCCTGCGGGTACACGAGTAGGCGGACGGGCGGGGGGGAGAGGAAGAGAAAGAAGGGCAGGAGAGGAGCGAGCGATGGGAGGGCGGATCCTATCTGTTGCACCAGATTGCCAATCGGGGTCGAATGAGTCATTCATCAAGCAAGCTCTGCTAGACTTCTGTGCGGTGGCCGACACCGGTTTCCTCCTCAATTCCAGTGGCCTCTTGTCCCACGCCTTCGCTGCCGGTAGAGAGTCGCCAGCGCGGCGAGGACAATTCCGAAGAGAATGTGTCCGACGAGGAGAGAATACCTGCCGCATGGCGGGCCGCTGGGGCCAGGCGGTGCCTTTCCTCATGTGCAGCTCTCCTCAAACTCCCGCTCCTCGTCCCTCCCGCCATCCCTCGCTTATCCTCGACCTGTTTCCGCTTGCCTCTTACCTCCTCACTCCTCCCTCTCCCCCCTCCTCCCCCTCCCTTCCCCTCCTCCGAGCCTCCTCCCCCGTCCTTCCTCGGGCGATGGGGCAGGGACGGGAAGGAGGAGGAGGAGGAGGAGGAGGATCAGGAGAAGGAGGAGGAGGAGAAGGAGGAGGAGGAGGAGGAGGAGGAGGAGGAGAAGGAGGAGGAGGAGGAGGAAGGGTGGGAGGAGGAGGAGGAGGAGGAGGAGGAGGAGGAGGAGGAGGAGGAGGGGAGCAGGAGGGGAGGAGGAGGGGGAGGGGGAGGAGGAGAGGAGGAGGAGGAGGAGGAGGAGGAGGAGGAGGAGGAGGAGGAGGAGGAGGAGGAGATGACGAGGGAAAAGGGGGAGGAGGACCAGCGCTCGGCCGTGGGGGGGTTCAAAGCTCCTCTGTGAAGGGATCCGCCGACCCTCACAGGGGGCCTCCTCACGACGCAGCTCGGGCGCGGGTCGGGGCCTCGCTGGGACAGGAGCTGCGCGCGGCCGGAGTGCGCGGTGGCACCGGCCCCACCTCGAATCCGCGCGCAGCGAGGGGCAAAGCCCCGCGGCTGCACGGAGCACACAGTCTTCAGTCGTCCAGTCGTTGTGGCCATTGTTTGATTCTGCAGCTGCGTCTGTCGCACAGCTTGCGCAACTACCAAATACGCCACCCGCGCTGGCGGCACATATGCATGGTACTGATACGTGTTGGGAAAGAGAGGCGGCAAGCCATGCAAGGGTGGGTGGATTTACCTCTAGCCTTCCTCCGTAGCACGTGTCCTGAGCAGCATCGGGACGCCCTCAGGCGCGCCCTCGGGATGTCGGGACATAAGAAGATGGCCTCGTCGGTGGTGTTCACCTGCCGCCCTCCGTCTTCGAATCCTCCGTTGAGCTTTTCGTTCTGCCGGGTGGCACTCATGCTGGAGCCGCAGTCGCCGGCAGACGGCGGCGGTGCACTCGGCGACTTCATGGCCAGGCAGCCGATGCCAACGTCCCGGAATTCTGCGTTTTCTTTGCCGACTTGTCCCTGCTGCAGGGGGTCTGGGATGACGGAGTCGCAATTCTCGGCGATCGGCGGCGCACACGGCGCCTCGGTGGTCGGCGAGCGCTCGATGTCTCCATCCTCGTGACTCTTCTGGAGCTTGTCCTCCTGCAGGGTATCGCGCACGGGCATCGGCTCCAACGGCGCCGGCCCGAGCTGCCAGGCAAGACGTGGCAGAGGGCGTCCGCGTGGGAAGCTTCGGGGTGCTCTGCCAGGCGGCGGGCCCTCCGCCGCCGCCGCGTGGAGCTTTGCCGGGTACCAGCCAGCGGCCAGGCCCTCCTCGAAGGCCCTGGCCTGGACGCTCCTCTCCGCCCGTGGCGCCTGCGCGGTCGACTGCGGGCCTGCAGCGGCGAGGCCCTCCTCGAAGGCCCTGGCCTCGACGCTCCTCTCCGCCTCGGGCGCCTGCCTGGTCGACTGCGGGCCTGGGCCCCGGCCCAGTCGGGGCCCCGCCGCGGCGGCCTCCAAAGACGCCCTGGAGGCCGCGGCGCACCCCTCCGCGGGGGCCTCCGCCGCGTGCCCGGCCGTGCTGCGCCGCAGCCTCGCTCCGCCTGGCACGCGGCGGCCAGCAGCGAGGCGGCGCAGAGCGGGCCGCGCTGCCGCCTCGCGGTCGCCCCACGAGCGGGGTGGCCAGGGCCTCGCCCCCCGCGCGCGCCGCTCCAGGGCGTTCAGCCGGCGGCTGCGGGCCGCGCGGCGCGCCGCCGAGGGCCCCAGGGCCTCGTGCTCATCCTTCCTGCGTCCAAGGGGCCGCCAGAGAGCAGCTGGCGGCCCTGCGCAGCCCTGCACCGTCGGCCTGGCCCTTCCCCGCCGCGAAGGGGGAGGGAGACCGAGCCGCTCCCAAAATGCTTGGTGCGAGGCAAGGCGCGGCTCCAGCCAAGCGAGGCTTGCAGAGCCCAGATGGCTGGAGCCAAAATGGCCACGGGGATGGAGGATGAGGGGGAGGAGGGGGAGGAGGAGGAGGAGGAGGAGGAGGAGGAGGAGGAGGAGGAGGAGGAGGAGGAGGAGGAGGAGGAGGAGGAGGAGGAGGAGGGGGAGGAGGACAAGGAGGAAGAGGAGGAGGACGAGGAGGACGAGGAGGAGGACGAGGAGGAGGAGGACGAGGAGGAGGAGGAGGAGGACGAGGAGGAGGAGGACGAGGAGGAGGAGGAGGAGGAGGAGGAGGAGGAGGAGGAGGAGGAGGAGGAGACGGCGAAAAAGTCTCAGGCGAAACGCTCGGCCCGCCTTTTTCGACCAGCCTCGGAGTGTGACAGGGAGGACATATTCACACGGGAAAGGAATTGAGGGAAAAGGGAGGACGAGGGCGAAGGGTGAGGAGTTGAGCCAAGGGCCTTGCTGCAGCTCGTAGCCCCCCCCAGGGTCCCAGGGACCTACGGCATTGTTTTGCGGGCTGCTGGATCCGCCATGTGGAATAACGTCGGGCCAGCGGCTGGGAACGTCGAACTTCTTCGTCATGATATCAGAGGGGGACCACGATGGCCTTCTGCGAAGCTCCAGCTTCTCCGATTGCGCCGGCTGGTCCATCTGTATCCATTGACAGGGGATAGCCCAAATCGCACGGGTATCATGTACTACGTGGCAGGAGTCTGATTAGAGATAGAGCATCCAGGCTCAAGCTATGTCTATTATACGGTGATGTGGAGCCGAGGAGGAGTTGCGCCTCGCTGAGTTGCCAAATTGGTCGAAGGGGCAGAACTGGTGTGCATACGTCACCAGCGTAGCATCTGGCAGACAAGCGACACGTTTGCCGGATTCCCCTTTTTATAAGATTGGCATACTGTTATTAGTATGATACCTCCGCCTCCCACTACTTCCTTCATCCTTTTCTGTTTCCTCCTTCCCACTCATCCCACCACCTCATACTCAGTTACTTTTACTTGGACTCGCTCGCGCTAAGACGCACTCACACTTAGACTTATCAATACTCAGACTCGCTCATACGCATGCTCAGACTCACACACATTCAGACTCACGCGCACTCATTCAGACGTGCACGCAATTTGTCACTGATTCTCAGACCCACTCTTACTCGTATCCATTCCAACCCAGAGCCCTGGCCGGGATGTGGCCATCATAGCACTCGGGTGCCGCAAGGGCGGTGGGGGGGGGGTGGCATGGGGTATTCTTGCAGCTTCTCGTATCCCCACCAGCCCATCTAGCAACGATGCCCAGGCGAATTGCATTGAGGAGGGGGGCGGCCATCAGGATTAGCATGAGCAATTCCAAGAGTCAGCCATAGATGCCGTCGCGGATCTTTCGATATAGGAGTTTGTTAGCAGCCTGCTGGGACCACCTTGGGGCCATATTGGAGGCTTCTGAGGGTAGATTGAAGCCCTCTTGTTGCCTGAAGGGCGCTTTTGGTGCCAACGTGCAGGCTATCGATCAAACAATATGGGTCGGTCAATTTGCACCGCTCCCTGAAAGCCTGAAATTATCGCCTCTTGGGGCGCCCTTGGAGCGCTCTGAGGGCGCTCTTGGGGCTTTCTTGGGATCCTCTCGGGCTTCTCAGCACTGCGTGCGCGATTGGAGGAGGAGGAGCAGCAGCAGCAGGAGGAGCAGCAGCAGCAGCAGCAGCAGCAGGGCCCTCTTGGGACATGCTGTAGCCCAAGGCCCTTTGAAGCGAATCGGCGAGTCGTCAGTTGCGTTTTTTCCATGGCAAGGTTTTGGACAGATTCTGGCATCTCGCGACCGTCCTTGGGAGACTTCGTGGCCGCTCGGGGCCGTCTTGGAGGTCCTTTGGGTCTCTGGGGGGCAGAGTGGCGGCCCTCCTGAGCCATCCTGGGGGATCCTGAGCCAGCTTGGAGGCCACCTTGGGCTCTCCCACGAAGCCCCCGATATGCCAAGATCTTTGAACAGAGCATTGGTTTTCCAATGACGTTAGTTTTGAGCGAAGGGGAGGTCCTCAGTGTGGCCGGCCTCCCCGGAGCCCCTAAGATCGCCCCTCGGGACCTGCTTTGGGCCCTCCTGGGTCATCTAGGAAAACATCGATCAAAGAAGGGGGGCCCCCTGCAAGCGTCGCCCCTCTAGAGTCCCAGATGTCGCCTCTTGGGGCCCTCTTGGGAGGCTCTTGGGCGCTCTTAGGGCCGTTTTAGAAACCCGTTCGGGCCCCTCTTGAGGCTCTTTTCGGTTGTCTCCGAGCCGTCTTGAGACTTCTGAGGTCCATGGGCAGCGATGAGGCGTATTGCACAACTCCTTCGGTGTCCTCGGGTCCCCCAAGCCTTTCTTGTACTTAGGGGGTGCTTACTTGTCTGTTTCAGTGGAGAGCCATGCCAAGAAACACCCTGTTTGCCTCCAGGGTGCCCTGGGTTTCTTGGGTTTCGATGGTTTCGCGATGGAAAGCGTGACGTTCCCGCAGCAAAACTCAATGGACGTCCTGGGGTCTCAGGGATGGTTTTTTCTTTGGAAGGTTTCTTGTGGACAGGCCTCCACTGTGAAGGAACTGCCCTCGTTCGTCGCATCCGCCGCCCTGTTGCCCCCCGTCGCCGCCCCGTCGCCGCCGCGTCGCCGCCCCTCGGTGGGGCTCGTCTGCTGGCTCCGCCGCCTGGTGGCCGCCGCCGCCGCCCCGTCGCCGCCCGTGGCCGCAGCCCCGGCGCCCCCCCCCGCTGCAGCCCGACCGGTTGCAGTCCAATCGATCGATTGCAATCCACTCGATCGATTGCAGTCCAGTCGATCGATTGCAATCTTATCGACTGCAGTCACATCGATCCATTGGAACCCAACCGATTGCACTCCGCGCGAACCGCAAGTCAATCGTCTGCGACCCGTGCGATAGCACTTCAATCGATCGATGGCAATCCAACCGATTGCCAGCCGATCGATTGCGATTCGATTGATTGCAGTCCAATCGATTGCAGTCCAATCGATCGATTGCGCGCCAACCGATTGCAATCGAATCGATGGCCATCCAACCGATCGATTGCAATCGATTGCAATGTATTGCAACGCCTCGGTTTCACCACATTGGTTGCACCACAAAGCGTACACCACATGGTCCACATTTCATACACGAGCACATCTATTAGCCACCACATAACTTGGCAACCTAGCTCACACCACATGATGATTACGCTAGCTCCTAAAACATGTGTTGTGCCAACTAGCCTACACCGCATAGTTCACCCCGTACAGATGTGTATGTTAGTTTCTACCAAATAGGTTGCACCACAGAGCTTGCACTACACATTCGAACGTTTGCAATCACATATGTTGCAATCGACCTTCGATCGTCTGCCTGCACCGATCGCTGACACCACATAGCTCATGCCACATACATGCACACGTATTTCACTATACAGCTTGCACCACACATCTTACACCACATCGACGAGTACGTTACTCCTACCGCAGAGACTGCACCACATAGCTTACACCTAGCTTACAACGCACTGATGAGCATGTTAGCTGCTCCTAGCACATCGATGGCACCACGCAGCCTACATCACATAGCTCACCCCACATGTATGGTATCACATTTTTTTGCACCACCTAGCTTGCACTACGTGGACTTGCACCACCTGACTTACACATCCACAGTGCAGTAGCTTACTGATTGGGGTCCATGCTGGCTGACATGTTGTTTGCCTCTCGAGGGCATGCTTCAGAGGATCCGTGGCCAGTGGAGGCCGTCTTGGAGCGGTCTCGGTTCCCCTTGGAGCATGTTGGAAGTCAGCTTGCGCGATCGTCCGCTGTACTGCGCCATCTTGGGGGCCAGCGTGGGCGACCTGAGGCCCTCTTGGGCGCCGTGCTGGGCCAGCTCGGGCGCTCCAAGAGCCCGCGGGGCGCCCTGACCAGACCCGGGGGGAGGGACTTCCCCAAAAGTGTGGCGGGCGAGCCAGGATGGGCCACCTCGAAGCGCGCCGGAGTTCTGGATCCTAAGGCAGGCTCGAGCGTGAGGAGGTGGCTCGTAGGATTAATAAGTCGGGCGTGTCCCTCTACAGGAGGAGTGTCCAAGAAGAGTCAACAGCTAGTCTGGGGATGCGTTTTTTTGAATATTTCGGAATGTGTTTTTTGTATTTTCTGGGGCACTGTGAATGGTTCGTCCAAAAGTCGCCTGGAGGAGGACGCGCCCGACCTAATCGTAGCATCGATGAGCGTCAGAGTGTGATGGGGCGTGCTGAAGTGCACGGGGCGGCGTCCTGCGGCCGCCCACGGCCTGGAGCCGCAAGCGGGGGGCTCTCTGGAGGGCACGCGGCTCGTCGAGGAGGCGCGCCACGGGGCGCGCTGGAGGGAGCGGGGTGGCGGCGTGCGGCCTCCCGCGGCCCGGAGCCGCAGGCGGGGCTCCTCGTCGGAGGGGCGCGGAACTCGTCGAGGGGGCGCACCACGGGCACGACGGAGGCGCAAGGAGGCATGAGAAGAGGAGGAGGAGGCGGAGGAGGAGGAGGGGGAGGCGGAGGAGGAGGAGGAGGAGGAGGAGGAGGAGGAGGAGGAGGAGGAGGAGGAGGAGGAGGAGGAGGAGGCGGAGGAGGAGGAGGAGGAGGAAAAGGCCTTAAGCTGGCGGTCTGGGGCCCTCAAGGGTGTCTACAGGATCTCAGGTTGGATAGTATCGAGGCCCTAAGGACACTCCGGCACGCTGGCGGGCATCGAGGCAGTGTTGTGGATCCTCCTTGGAGCCTTTTTTGGCCCATCTCGGGGTCTCTCGGAGACATGCTGGCGATCTTGGAGGTAGATTGGGAAATCTGCACTGCATATCGGCCATCTTGTGTTCTTGTTGGGCCACTTTGGCCTTGAGGCCAACTCGGGCATCTTGGGGGCCAGCTTTGGCCTTGAGGCCAACTCGGGCAACCTTGAGGGCTTGGTGTCTTTTCGAAGCGCTCTTATGACATCGTGCGTCAAAGCATGTAGCTGGCAAGCTTTATAAGACAACACTGTTTGTGTGTGTGTGTGCGTGATTGGGTCTACCGGGTGCGGCATCGGGCTCTATGGGTCCATCTTATAAGTATGTTGACGGTACCTTGGACTGTGTTGGACTCTTGGGGTCCTCGGAATGATGGAGCGTCTGGGAAACCCCCTGGGCCCTCCTTGCCATGTGGTGACGTCCCCGTAGACATCCCCATTGTAACTCTGGAGGCTGAGGGGTCTCATCTGGGTGGTTCTCGTTGCCGCTGCGCCCTCTCTCTACATGTATATATTCATACGTACGCGTAGGGGGGAGAGCGACAGAGAGAGAGAGAGAGGGAGAGAAACATCACACAAACGCGAGAACATCAGCACCAGCATGATAGCATCGCATCAACGTGCTCCACAGCATTGGCGATGAAGTGCCTACCATCTCCAAATTTTGTCGAGAGGTGAATCACGTAGCTTTCTCGCAGAGGCAGTGTCAGCAGTACCAAGCGTCAAGTTGTACTCAACCAGTGGTGCTACTGATTGTGTCCTGCATCGCGGCCGAAACAGCAGCGCCGATCACTCATGTTAGAACAAGAGGCAAGGTGCATGTCCGACAGTCGCAGATGCTCCTAACTTTGTCCGCCGCGCCGTGTCGTTTTGCCTCTTCTTGTTTGTGGTGCGGAGCCGCTTTGTCCCATCCTCTCAAGTTTACTTCTCATGCCCTCCCGTCCCCGCCCACCGAGACCCATCTGCGAGTTGGGCGCGAAGTGTACCCTACGCATGGACCCGGCACACTTAGAGGCGGAGGCGCCAGCCTGTTTCGATTATATCTCTTTCTGGTCAGGTGTTCTTCTCACGCTTTTCACCCCTCGACTGTTGCCGATTTATTTGCGTGCTCCAGTTCTGTATGTAAGATGGCTTTGTCTTTGGAGTGATCGTCAATAGCTGGTTCGCGACAGGTGGGGCTTCGCTGGAGAGCTCTGTCCACCCGTCCGAGCCCCACGCAGACAGAGGTTCTGTCCAACAGGAGCCGTACAGGCTAACGGCAGACTTCGTTCGTTGAGCGGGCGTAGCATGTCGCCGCTTGGTGGGTGTCGTCATCGTATAGTTGGCGCAACTTTTCATCATAGCCGTAGCGTCTGAGACGTATTTTTGTGTTTCATGTTTGAGCCACTGGCTTCGGCTCTCCACGTTCATACAAGCTTTTCGTTGTGGGTATCTACTTAGGGCTTTTGGCCTTCAGACGTATGTGTATACCGCATGTAAGTGTGCATATGTGTTTACGTCGATGTGTGTGTATGTACATGCAAATGCCTCTGTTTAGGTATACGTATTATGTGGATGCATCTGTATATGTAGGTGCATGTGAATATGTGTAAGTGCAGGTGCTGTATGAGTATATGTGTGCGCATATGCATGTGTATATGTATATGTGTCTCTACGGCTTATCATTCATATATGGTTTGGTGTGTACGCACATTCCTATGCATGATATGCATTTGCATATGTATAGGTGTATGTATATGAATGCTTATGTGTATTCGTGTGTATATATATATATATATCGTATACATCTATATATATATATATGTATGTATGTATGCATGTCTATATATATATAGGTATCGGAGTAGCCAGGGGTGGGGGGGTCGGGCCAGTGCCTGTTCAGGGGTGCCCGCGGGGGTTTCTGGGGGGTTCCAGAGCTCCCGAGGTGGCCCAGACCCGCTACGAAACAGGCCACGACAGGCTAAGGGGGTCCCGAGAAGGCCCAAGACGGTTCCAAGAGGCCCCGAAGACGCTTCAGATGCCCTTAAGACAGCCGACGAGGACTCCAACACGCCCCAGGACGAACTCAAGAGGCTTTCCAAGAGAGCCCTGGGAGGCAAAATTCACTACTCATGTTTCTATGGTTTTTGAACTATTTTGGCGTTCTCGCTTTTCCCGTTTCCAGCGCTCCCTCACGGCCTCCGAGGCCCTTCAGATTGATCCAAGGCGGCACACGAAGCCCCGAAGAGGGCCCCCAGACGGCCCAGGAGGCTCCCGAGACAACCCAGTGTCAATGATGTCGGAGAAGTGCCCCTAAGAGCGCCCCAAGTGTCATTGATGTTGGAAATTCACCTGTCTTTATTTTCCTTCCGCACGTAAGCTCCGCGGAGTCGAGCAAGAAGACAACGGCCGTCTGTACGACCAATCAAATACAGCAAGTAGAAAACAGGGAAACCCGAATCAGTGACTGGAACACATCTGATAACTTGTTATCGTTGATAGCTCAAAAAGGGGATCACTTGATAGTATTGAGAGAAATGGCCACAGCATCTATCATACTGTCTCTTCTCTCTAACTGCTTATCTGCGGCGTTTCTAGCGGCACAGATACGGGCAAAACACACCCATATTCACACAGAGTAAAACATTTGCCAGCTTAGAAACTGGAGATCAGCACGTTACAAAAAAGGGCACTGCCGTCTCCGTCGCAGTCCAAACCAGAACGGGTCGAACGCATCCGTTCAAAAAACACATCAACTTAGAAACGACACTCGCTAGGTTTCTCCTCGCAGTAGGAGAGAATCCTCGTGACCAAATCTGCCTTGATTCCTGAAGCTGGTAAACGCATCTCGCGAAGCATAGCCTGCAAATCACATACTCGCAGACTCTCGAGTCTACGACGTACATCCGATCGGTCGTCCTCTATCATCGGACGGGGTCTATCGATCGCCTGCGCTGCAATGTGTGGTGTAAACGGGGATGTTACAATCGCAGTCGGCGAAGCACTATCCACTTTCGCCTCTACCACTAATGTAGGATCAGCTGTCCTTTGCAAATACTGCCACAGACAAAGACACAAACCAATCATCGAACGAATTCCGATCTGAAAAACTGTCATACACGACTCGGCTGGTGAAAGCACACACCTCGACCAATCGTCGAATGGCTGAGCCATAGACGTTGAAATCTGGCAAACTGCTTGTTCCGATGCGGTCGTCACCGCAGTTGCTGCGACAAGAATTGGCACGGAAGTGCCAGACGAAAAAATTGCTTGCCAGAACTCCTGCAAAAAAGCATGGCACGCGATGAGCGCGTCACAGATGTGCCACCTGCCTTACTCACTTCAGAATGGTATGCGATCTCATGTACATCAATCCTTGCAATTTCGTCGTCAGCGCTATGGTCCTTCGGTTTGGCGTAGCACGCATTCGTCTCGTCGGCGTCCTCTGGTAGTTCCACTCGCTGCGCTCGCTGCGTTTCCTCCCAAGGATCTGTCAGCTTCCGTTTCCTGAGCGAAGGTGCTCGGGGATCCGGTCCGAACGTCCAGAGATTCTCGTACAAGACTCGGTCTTGGTATGGTGTGTCCATCTTCTTGGTAAGTCCGTCGGCCAGTTGCTGCTCGCATCGGACCCATTTGATACCTCCATGCTGGCATTCCTGCCTGATGATGGCTGCTTCCAGAGAAAGTCTCCGATCTGATAAGTGAACGCGCCCTTTCACAACACAATTCCACAAAGAAAGGCCATCTGTAACCAAAACTCCTTTCCACTCCTCAGCTGCTTGGCGGTACGCATGTCCAAGCCTACTAGCTGAAAAGATATCTGCACACACTGCTTGCGTCCAAAAGCAAACATCTTGAGCTTCAGAACAGCTGTAAGCCTCTGCTGAAAGGGTACTCCGTACTGCACGTCCAATGCGGTCGCTCGACCATGCCAAGAGCATACATGGATACAGCTTCGTGTGGTCGTCCATCATGTTGCCATCTCCCACCATGCTATAACAACCACGTTGGCTCTTATGGTTTGGCATGTTGTCGAATGATGCGTCGTGTGAAGCTATGATAACAGACTTTTCAAAATCAAATCCTCCACGAAAATCCATCTGAGTCTTCCCCTCACGGCGAATAGACCTCACCAAACTATTCACATCCTTCATGTCTTGCACCGTCGGCTTCGACATCTGGCCAGCAAGCCGCGATGCCTCAAAACTGTACTTATGAAGCAGTGGTCGTACCGCCCACTGAACTTGTCCATTCATGCCACGAAGCGCCCGATGTTCAGCAGCGGTAAGTAGCTCTTTCTCCTGCTCAGCCCTTTCACGGGGCATCCGGTAGTCCGTCATCGCATCGATGTAGTTGTCCATGTCGATGGTGATAGCATAGTCCTTGTCTTGTTGGAAGCGTCGCCCAGTAAACGTAGCTCCTCCTGGTGCGTTCTGTAGATCATGCCAGTCTCCAAACCCCACCTGGCTCCTCAACTGTTGAATCACGTGATCGCAGAACTCCTTGTTGTTCTCCATGTCGAAGGCCATGAGCATGTCGTCGACGTGTAGGCACAATAGTCCAACCAACTTCCCTTGGTTCATCAACTTGAAGGCGGCAGTTTCAAACTGCACCTGCTCGAAGCCGGAGTCTCGCATAATCTGGGCAGTTCTTTTGTGCCAGGCCTTTGCCGCGTCGTTGGTGCCATAGATGCTCTTGTTGAGCTTGAGTAGGCCTACCTGTTCGATCCCAGGCATGCTCATGCCCAGCAAGTTCCAGAGCGTCTTGAAATACAGCCCCCTCTCAAACTTGACTCCCTGCAGAAAAAGCTCCAGTCGCATCGCCAGTAAAACGTGAAAATCGCTCGCGCGCGGCAGTGCTGCATAACATATTCTGCATAAAGGGTGAGCATGTCGGTGAGTCTCGTCGTAGCTTCTCATCGCATTTCTTCTGGAAGCCTTCCCCGCAATGCGACATTTGGGTTGGGAGGTAGCGTCGTGATCGCGGCCCCTGTTCGTCCATGCAGCTCGGCTCTCGATTTGTAGCGACTTACCAATCTTCTTGGCCACTGTCGGTCAAATCATTGTCACAGCGTCGCACTTGGTCCAAGTACTCCATTATTTAAGAAGTGCGTTGAGAGACTTCTCGGCACGTTCTCGGGTACATCCGTCATCGCGATTCAGTGCCTCTTTTATGTCCAGCTCGCCCTTCGATACTCGGTCAGCTTGTTCAGCCGCGAAAGCTTCGCACATGACTGTGTTGGTGGCGTAGGCGGTGCGCAATCTCTTGTTGTTCTCGGTGAACGTGATGTTGCGACCAATGTGTGTTCGCCCTCCGTGCGAAGTCTGGGATGCTGGCGTCTTTCTTGTAAGTCTCGATCGTCCAGCGCGCTCTGCCTCGCGTTGTTCACGATTCGCTTGTTGTCGAGTTTGCTGTCGTTTTCGCGCGTCTTTTTCTGGTGCTGCGCGAGGCTGAGGTCCGTCGTCGCTCGATCCAGACGGTGCACTGGGTCTTGCCGCTGATGTTGGAGTTGGTGCCGGATTGTTCAGTCCAAACGATTGAGGTGGTCATTGAGGTTCCGTACCTTTGGTAGGCCAGTTTTGTCGGACAAAATATGGGTTCTGCCCTTGTCCATTGGACGGGCCATTATTAGTCCGATACGTGCACTCCACCACAACATCCTCCATATCCAGCACACGTACCAGAGGAACTTCAAAGGGCACTTCCAGATTGTTACGAGAAATATCCTCACGTAGGGCCTTTGTGTCGTAGTTGAAGATGCGTCGCCGTAGATGCCTGTCTCGAGGAATGACATCTTCTTCTGGTAATGGGGTCCTCATACATCCCGTAATCCTTGTCGCCAGAACTGCGTCATATGGACCGCGGGGCTGTGCTCCAATGATCGTCTCCCAGGTGCTGGGTCTACTCCATGATCCTTCTGGCCAGTCAGCTTTTACGCGACGTCGTTGTGTCGGTGGTTGATCATCTGCGTCATAAGGTTATTGATCTGGTGTTCCATCCATCCTCGGCGGGCCCTGTTCGGGTTGGTCAGGGTCTGCTGG